AGTGTGGGATGAAAGACTCGCAGAAGGATTCCAGCAGGAGGAAGGTCTTGAGCAGGATCTTGGAAGGTGTGGTCAGATGGAGAACAATTGCTACCATTATACCTACAAAGCACTGTTTTTCTACACACAATTCCTGGAATCATATTTTACATTTAGGACACTGGCATGCAGTTCCAGTGTTTCAAATGGTATTATTTTTGATCCCCTTGGTAATGTTTTTTCTTTTTTAAAAATTTCAAACTTACAGAAAATTTGTAAGAACAGTATAAAGGAGGTCTTTTCCCCCCGAACCTTTTAGAATAAGTTACCCATATGATGCCTCACCACCCTCAAATTATCAATTATATAGGGGTTCCCTGGTGGCTCAGTGGTATATAACATTATGATAATTTATATCAATGATCATATATAACCTCATGACTTCTCTTGTTATTTTCTTATATAAACTTTGAGTTATAGTTTAAATCTTCTTCTGAATATATTATCTCCATAATTACATGCTATAAACAATTCAGAGCAGATATCATATATGATCTCCTGTACTCCTCCAAGTATTAAGCATATTTCCACATCCCACTTTGCAAATATTTCTTGCATATCAGTTATGTATTAGGCACTGCAAATAATAATAATAATAATTCTGTTTATATATAGAATGCTTTATAGTTTTTTACACCTATACATTGTCAGGAAATTAACATCTATGCATTACTATCATCTAATCCACAGATTCCATTCAAGTTTAGCCAACTGTCCCAATAATGTCCTTTATAGTGATGCATTTAATTTTCAAATCTCATTAGCCTTAAAGCAAAACAGTTCTTGAACCTTTGATTTTCATGACCTTGCCCTTTTAAAGATCATGTAAATTATTTTACAGAATATTTCTCCCAATCTGTATTTCTGGTGTTTCTTCTTACATAGATTCAGGTTTTACATTTTCAGCAGGGATAGCACAGAAGTGTGCTGTTTTTTTCCCTCACTGCATACCATTCAGTTCAGTTCAGTCGCTCAGTCGTGTCCGACTCTTTCTGACCCCATGGACTGTAGCCTAACAGGCTCCTCTGTGTGAAATTCTCCAGGCAAAAATACTGGAGTGGGTAACCATTCCCTTCTTCAGGGGAATCTTCCGGAACCAGGGGTCAAACCCAAGTCTCCTGCATTGCAGGCAGATTCTTTGTTTGTTTGTTTGTTTTTTCAGGCAGATTCTTTACTGCCTGAGCCAACAGGGAAGCCCTTATTTTAGATAGAATGTAAGAGAAGGCCTCTCTTAAGAGGTGACATTTGTGCTGACATACAATGGTAAGAAGGAACCAGTAATGCAAAATGTAAAGGAAGAACAGTCCAAGCAAAGGAACAGATATAATGATCCCAAGGCAAGAAAAACCCTTGTATTTTGGAAGACATTAAGATTTCAAAAATCTCAAAATCTGTCTTTTTAGATCAGAAATGAGGAGAACTTACAAATGAGGAGTATTTGTAACAGATAAACTAGTGATAAATGGGATTCCCAGTTGGCTCAGTGGGTAAAGAATCTACCTGCCACACAAGAAATGTGGGTTCAATTCCTGGGTCAGGAAGATCCTCTGGAGGAGGGCAAGGCAACCCATTCCAGTATTCTTGCCTGGAGAATCCCAAGGATAGACGAGCCTGGCAGGCTACAGTCCATAGGGTTGCAAAGAGCTGGACACAACTGAAATGTCTGAGCATGCATGCACACAACTTGTGGTAAAGAATCCACCTGTCAATGCAGGAGATGCAAGAGACAAGGGTTTGATCCCTGGCATGGGAAGAGCCCCTGGAGGAGAAAATGGCAACCCACTCTAGTACTCTTGCCTGGAAAATTCCATGCATAGAGAGCCTGGCAGCTACTGTCCATGGGATCACAGTGTCAGACATCACTGACACACACACAGGAGCATAAGCAATTCACATATGTTTTAGAGTTACTCAACTTATTTTGAAGTTTGAACACCAAATTCTTCCTAGAAGTATGCTTATACAGGAGAAAACTATTTTTATAGTCACACAAATTCCTTGGTATGTTTTGCACGTATTTAGTCTCACAACAGAAGAGTCTATAAGAATATGCCTACATCCTGATCTCGATACAAGGCTACCAAACATGGAGTGGGCAGGACATTAATAACTAAAGTTCCAAAGGCATAACTGCCTATAGTCTGGGCCCAGGACTTAACTGTAAATATGTTGTTTACCTATTTCCTCTTTCTATGCCTTTCCTCCCACATTTGGCAATGTCTTCATCATGGTTCTTGGTTCATGGTGATCTCAAGTTGGCCACAGGGTGCTTCAAAGAGGGGGAAATCAGAACAAATCCATTCACAAAATAGTGCTCATTTTAAATTTCTCTCAAGGGTATTATTGGCATTTAGGAGGAGTTGTAAAGAGGACACTGCATCATTAACAGAGAAATTTTAGATACTAAAGTAAAATAGATAACTCTGTACTTTTACTCGACTTAGAATCAACATTCCACATTTCCAATTTATCCTCTTGTAAGCTTCAAGAGAACAGAAAAACTTCTTGTTCATTACTCTATTCCCAGTGTCTGGTACATGTTAGAGCTCTCTTTGCTGGCTAAATGAATAAATGAATGCCTAATTACAGACTGTTACTATATTTCAATAGTAATATAGTAATAGCCTGTTACTCTACATATATAGTAATAGTCTGGTGACCTGCAAAATTCAGAGGTCTCTTTGTAAAGGGAAAAACAGGTCACACTCTAGGATGTGGCCTTTGATACTAGTCAGAAAATTCCAATTATCGTCTGCATTTGAAGCTTCCCTACTGTAAGTATATAGGGAAGGGAGTCCTGGGAGCAAAAGAACCAGGAGAAAAGAACTAGATACCATTTTTTGACATTTGTTGTCCTTGTTCAGTCACCTCTGACGCTTTGCAACTTCATGGACTGCAGCATGCCAGGCTTCCCTGTGAGTTGGACCATAAAGGCTGAGTGCTAAAGAATTGATGCTTTAGAGTTGTGGTACTGGAGAAGACTCTTGAGTCCCTTGGACAGCAAGGAGATCAAACCAGTCAATCCTAAGGGAAATCAACCCTGAATATTCATTGGAAGGATTGATGCTAAAGCTCCAATACTTTGGCCACCTGATGCAAAGAGCCTGCTTACTGGAAGACCCTGATGCTGGGAAAGATTGAGGGCAGGAGGAGAAGGGGATGGCAGAGGATAAGATGGTTAGATAGCATCACCGACTCAATGGACATGAATTTCCACAAACTCCCAGAGATAAAGGACAGAGAAGCCTGGCATGCTCCAAGTCCACCCAGTCGCAAAAAGTTGGACAACACTCAGTGACTGAATATCCACCTCCAAGAGGCAAACCCAGTTTTGGGAATCATTACTTGTAATGTGTTACTGCTTTGGAGAATTTCAAAACACACTACCTCAAAAGAGACATGTCACTTCAGGTATTTATTCAACAGCAAACATCACAGGCTATTTTACTATAATGTGCTGGGAAGCTGTGCTAGTAATTGGTAATAAAGGGAAAAGAAAACACTGCTTTGAAGGACGACAATCTAGGGGAGTTGCTTACTATAAAAATGATAGGTTCTTGAAAACAAACAAATATACGAGGAATATTTTTCAATTAATTTATCTCATCTGCTGCCCTAGTTCAGGTTTCATAATCTCCTACTTGAATCTTTGCATTCTCCTTCCCAACTTTTTATTTATCCTGCATTGTCATAGCTTTCACTTTAAAAAAAAAAATCGATTTTATATTTCTCCCCCTTTTTGAAATCAAGCTCCAAAAAGGCAAAGATTTTTGTTTTGTTTATGACAGTATTCCCTGTGCCTGGAGTTGGGGACGCCTAGAAAAATTTAAAGACTTACAACAATCATCAATAAATCTCCTTGCTTCAAGTGTTTTTCCATTCATTCATATTTATTCCTTTGGTGTGCTAGGAATCCATATCTCATGGTTAATAAAATATATTGTATGGCAGTTGCTTTTTATTTTCCAGTATGTCTGTTTCAATTATTTTGCCTACCTAAAGCCGCTGAAAGCAGAAAAACTTTTGGGAAAAAGGACTTGAGGGTAGAAGCCTGACACGAGATGGCTGCTCAATAAAAGTTGGCTAACTTAACGCTGTGAACTCTTCTCTGCGAGGGAGCTAAAAAATGTTTTTGCACAGTAGAGTGAACACATCTTCACCTGTCTTTTAAGCACTTTCTAGGTCTTGAGGGCGAGCAGCACTTATGTCTGGCAGGCTACAAAAAGGAGACTCAAAACGACTATTTCTATCGTTCAGCTCAGCTCCACTGAGATGCCGCTTCCATCCGGCGGCAGAAAAATACTTCCGGCGTTCTGCTTTTAACGTGCTGAGTCACTGACAAAGTCTCCACCATAGGTTTGAGACGCAGGATGCACAAAATATGACATAAATGGTGGGGGAAAGGCTGGGGGATTAATTTTCTCCACTCGCTTACCAGTTTTCGCATCAGGGGAATATTCTCCTCTGAGCCAGAGAGCCCACTCAGTTGCTACCTCAAACCACCTCCATGCTTACGTCATAAACGCAGCGCATCAGTCCCGGCGCCCTTCTCCCATCGTCCTCCGCGCCGCTCTCTCCGCCTCTTCTTCTTCGCCCCTCCTACCTCTGGTTTCGAAAGGCTCGCTGGGTGCTTTGAGAATCCGGCCCGGTCTCTTTGGCTCCTTTTTTTAATTCCCTGTTCCTATTGGTTGGTTACGTGCGCGTGACTGCTCTCTTGCCTTATGATTGGCTAGAATCAGTTGCGTCATCGACGGTCTGGGGGGCGGGGGGGATGAGGGAAGTTGGCTTGAGGGAGACCGGATTGGGGGAGGGGTTCAGGCCTGTCCACCTCAGCGGCTGCGGCAGCAACAGCGCCGGCCGCCACCGCCTCTGGAACGCGGAGGAGGAGGAGCGGCTGGAGGAGTAGGAGGAGGAGGTGGACCCTAGGGTACGGCATGCCCAGCGTTCCGGTTTGGTAGTGAATGCTGAGGAGAGTTGCGGTTGCTGCAGTCTGTGCCACCGGGAGGAAGTTGTGTGAGGCCGGGCGGGAGCTCGCGGCGCTTTGGAGAATAGAAGCGCGGGGTCGGTGTGAAGACTCGGCGGCTGCCAGACGCTTTCCTACACTGACCATGCCTGGAAGGAACAAGGCGAAGTCCACCTGCAGCTGCCCTGACCTGCAGCCCAATGGACAAGATTTGGGCGAGAGCGGCCGGGTTGCCCGTCTCGGAGCCGATGAATCTGAGGAGGAGGGACGGAGGGGGCCTGTCAATAATGCCGGAGACCCTGAGATCATTAAGTCTCCCAGCGACCCCAAGCAATACCGGTAAGGGAGGAGGCTTGAACCCGGGAGAAGAGCAGGAGGCGGGCCTCTCTGTTCCCGCTGTGGTCCCTTCTTTTATACTAATCTTCCGAAGGAGCTTCAGGGGCACTATTTCCCACCCCAAAAACTTGCTTGGATGGAGGTGGCAGTTAGGGGCATCTATGTGGTGTCAGCTCTAAGAGGGGGAGATCTTGGGTTCCCTCAGGAATCAGGAAGTCAGAATGGGGAGGGTTTGTTCGAGTAGTTTTGACATTCTCTCAGGCGAGAATGGAGGTTTTTCTTCACTTTTTTAAAAAAAAACTTTAAAAAAAAATAACTTCTTATTTTGTATTGGGGTGTAGCGGATTAACAGTGTTGTAGTAGTTTCAAGTGAACAAACAAGGAATTCAGCCATAAAAATGCATGTATCCTTTCTCCCCCAAAACGCTCACCTATCCAGGCTGCCACATAACGTTGAGCAGAGTTCCGTGTGCTGTCCAATACCTGTTAGTTATCCATTTTAACTATAGCAGTATGTACCAAATTCCCTTTTTCCACCAGGCAGCCGTAAGTTCGTTTTCTAAGCCTATGAGTTTCAAGTTTTTAAAATTCATTTGTGTCTTTTTTTTCTTTTTAGATTCTGTATATAAGGAATATCATATGGTATTTCTCCTTCTCTGTCTGACTTCACTCAGTATGACACTCTCTAGGTCCATTATTTCATTCTTTTTAATGGTTGAGTAATATTCCACCGTATGTATGTACTATGTCTTTTATTCATTCCTCTGTCCGTGGACATTTAGATTGCTTCCGTGTCTTGGCTGTTGTAAACGGTGCTGCAGTGAACACTCAAGGTGCAAGTATCTTTTCAGACCATGTTTTTCTCTGGATATATGCCCAGGAGTGGGACTGTAGTGTCATATGATAGCGCTGTTTTTACTTTTTTAAGGAACTTCCATACTATTCAAGAATGGGGTTTTTCTGAGGAAGGCAGGCTGGATGGTCAGGGATACTTGGTATTATATTTAAGGAAAGGTTGAAGGAGCTGGGGATTTTATTTTTGAAGAGGATACGTAAGGGGCATAGTGTACTATCCACAACTACTTGAGGTGCCTGTAATTGAAAGGGGTAAAACTAATGACTGGAAGTTACTAGAGGATCATGTAGTTTCAGTAAAAGAACTTAGGTATTAGAGTTGGCCTAAGATGAGGTAACTTATTTCCATGGGTTGTTTCTCATTGCTAAGAATGGTTGGGTGCCCTCTTCTAAGAATATATTGGAGAGATCTTGAGTCTCATTTGGGTGAGTCAGAGAAGACTTGTAAGATTTCTCCCAATCCTGAATTTTTCAATTTTTGGTTTATACCATAATCCTCTAAACATCTGTAATAACAATCCCCACCTAAATATTTTCTTCACATGTAACTTATTCCGTAGAATGCCTTAACTATAATGTATTTTAAAGAGAGATTATATTGTCCAACTTTATTTTAAAGGTTGAGGAAACTGAGATCCAGAGAGTTTGCTTCTTGTTTAAAATTACAAATAGAGTTGATATGAAAACCCTGTCCATCTGACACCAAATCCAGTGCACAATTTACTGATTTTTATAAAGTTTTTATTCATGTTGAGTTGGAACCTGAAGCATTCTGGTTTTTAATTTGTTTTATGCCCCTACATTGTTAGAGCCGGAAAGAACCTTAGAGATTACCTTTTTCACTCCCCATCACCCTCAATGTATAGGTGACTGAAACTAAGGTAGAGAAAGAGGTGTTTTAGCCCTAAATTGAAGATAGGCCTAATTTCTTCCTTCAGTCTAAGTCTAGAGAATACAACTCTTTATACTATTTTTCCCAGGCGATAGGTCTTTATGAATAGGCCAGATTTTCCCTCCTTCTCATAAAAAAATGTGGTTATATTAGAGCTAGTTAAAACTTTGAGAAAAGTTATTTAGTTTTTGCCATTCAGATTAAATAATAGCTTCAGGTTTTTTTTTTTTTTTTACCTATATAAACTTATATAGTATCAGGTAATGTTTATAGAAAGTACTCTGTGTGTCAGATGTTGTTCTAACTGCTTTCAGTATATTCATTTAATGACCTAATTTTTGGCAAATTCATTTGAAAAATGCTAAAGTCTTACTGTGTGCTTTGCACACATAAAGATATGAGATATCTTTAATTCTTTTCCGAAACGTGGTTGGAATGTAACTTAATAAATGATATTTTATTCTGGGTACTGGGTATACAAAGATGATTAAGACAGTCCCTGCCTTCAGGGAGCTTCCTCTACAGTAGAGGGACATAGACACATTAAAAAGTTATAGTTAGAGCACTGGAGTTTTATAGAAACCATAATAGAAGCATGTTCTGCGTATAGCAAGGAATGAAGTGAGAAGTGGTAAAACTCAACCTGGGGAGAAAGTTAGAAAAAGACTTCAAAGAGAAGATAACGCTTAAAAGGTATTCTTTGAGTAGTTGTTGCTGTTCTGCATTTTTGTGGTCTTTTATTTTTTTATTACTTTTTTGTGGTCTTTTGCCAAATCATTGTCCTTCTTAGTGTCTCGGTTTTCTTATTTTAAAGTGAAGGGGGTTGATTAAGACTAGCAGTGTTTTCCAGTAACTTCCTCTTCTTTCAAAAGAGCAGGTCCACGTTTGTCTGTTCTATATACTAAAGTTTTCAGTTAGACTTTTAAAGGAAAGATTTTGTTACTTTAAAATAAAGATGGAAAACCTAGATACTAGATGCTTTTTAAAGATTTACCCATCCCAAAGTTAATACTCTGAATTTTGTAACCAGAAGTAGACAGGAGGTATGTAGAACCAAAGAGCTGAATTATTCTTCCAGAACCTGCTCAAATGTTATCTCTGTGAAGCCTTTCCAGGTGGAATTAATCCTACCTTTCAGTGTATTTCACTGGGACTTTATACATGATCCATTACAGTTCACATCCATCGTATTATAATTTATTTATCTTTTGAATGTTTGATTAAGTACCAGAGGTGAACTTGATTAGAATATTTTTTGTTAAAAATAACACCTTGAAATAATTGTTTGCCAATCTGCATTTATTAAGTAATAGCCTGTGGAATTGTACTTCTCTGTGTAATTTGTTTTAAGCTTTTTTGAAATGTCAATCATACCTCCAGGACATCTCTCCTGCCTTTTTTTTTAAGTCATCTGTATAAATGCTTGGTAAGTGTTGATTTCCTTCTCTTCTGGAAGGATTAGGGACTTTTTTTTTTCTTGTGAAGTAGGTACTGCAGTCTACCTAAGTGGTCCTCTAAGAAGTTGTAGGGGAAGTAGTGAGTGGGAAACATAAGGAAAGCCTTTAGTGGCAAAGGTTTGAAATAGTGTAGAGAATGAGTTAGGTATACTTGAGAAGTACTAAAGAGAGAAGTTAATGAGTTCTTCAGCATGAAAATTGTGTAAGTAAAGCAGTATTTTAAGATTAAGCTGAAAGTATCAGTAGTAGGTAAGATCCACAGGATGAGGCAAGACTGTTTTAAGAGGTAATTATAATTGTGTATTGACTGGTGTAGTGTTTCTCTAATTGATGTGTTCCCCTGGTCACTCTTTTTTGCTTTCCTCTTATTAACCCAGTGTTTGCTGGGCTAAAAACTTAGAATCCAGAGTTCAAGTCTGTTTTGCTCACTCAGCTTCTCAGATAGTATTTGTGGAATGTATGAATGCTCATATGCCAGACATTTTCATGGAACTCCTGGGAATATTCTGCTAGAAACTTTTTAGATCAGATTTGTATCCTGGCCAATTTTTAAAAAAAGAACTCAATTTTCAGAGGAAACAAGCATGAATAGGCAGGTTACAGAAAAAAAAAATGTGTTATACAAATAATAATAATAATATGAATAGTAATATTGTAGTATGTTTAATTCATATAAAAGCATGTGGCAGTTGGCATATAATAAACATTCAGATGTTAGCCATTATTTTAATATGTTCACAATTATTAAATGATATTTATAGCACTGTAATAGCAAAAAATTGGCAATAACTTTATTGTCCATTCTTTGGCTAAAAATTGTTATTATACCATTCTACAGTGAAAATGGTATATAGCTGTAAGGATAAATGGTTTTATATATCAATATGGAGAAATGTCCCATGGTTTACTATTGAATGAAAAAAGCCAGTTGCAAACCAAAATATATTGTACAATTCCATTTTTATAAAGAAAAATACCCCAGAAAACAATACTTCCCATTATATATTTGCTTAAAATATAATTTTCTGTGTTTAGCTATGCACAGAAATGATTAGAAATGATATTAAGCAAGCTTATTTCTAGAGAAAAGTGGAGATTTGAGTTGTTTACTTTTTAGTAATTAAAAAAGATTGATCAATAGACAAAGTATGATTTGTTTCTTGCAGGAAATTTAGATAAGAAAAATTTTTAATTTCCTACAATTATTCCATCCAGCACTAACCACTGGCAATGTTTTTTATAACCTTATTTCTTTTTTGCTATCCAGTTTTAATTTATAGTTTTAAAATGGTATAATACCATATTGAACAATTGTGTGAACATTTTCTTGTTGTGCTTTTCAATATATTTTGTCTAGTTAGACGTCCACGGTATAGATATATTATAATTTAATCGTTAGCATTTTATAGTCTAGATTGTCAAGATTTTCTTTCACTTAGAAATCTGTTTATTCTCAACTGAATCCTTTGGGTGTAGACTCAATCATAATGGATTTGATAGATATGTAGGATAACTTTTGGTGATCTGACTTTTTTTTCTAGGATATTCTTTAACCGGGAGAACTGGCAGACAAGAAGATGTTTTGTTCTGGGACTTCCACTCTGACATAGGTCTTACATTCATACTGGTTCCGAGAATGAAGTCAGTCATTAAGCCTGTCCAACTCAAAGGAAACTGAGTAGATTATTATCCCTTTCTAGTGTGTGTGTATTTCTCTTTTTTTTGTGACAGGGATGATGGGCTTAGTTATATGGTTGGACCAGAATTAAACTTTGCAGAATCGTTGGAAGTTGATTGTA